ATCAGGAGATCATGGGGCACTTTGTCAAAAGCTTTGCTGAAGTCAAGATATACTACATCTACAGCATTCCCTCTATATATCAGGGAGATGACCTGATCAGAAAACAAGCTCAAATTAGTTTGGCAGGATTTGTTCTTGACAAATCTGTGTTGGTTTCTAGTTTTTACTGCATTGTTTTCTAGGTGCTTGCACAATGGCTGCTTTATGATCTGTCCCAGAATTTTGCCTGGGATTGATGTCAGGCTGACTGGCCTGTGGTTCCCAGGTTCCTCTTTTTTGCCCTTTCTGAAGATAGGAACATTAGCCCTCCTCCAATCCCCTGGCAACTCACCCGTTTCCCATGATTTCAAGAAAATAATGGATAACGGTTATGAGATTTCTTAAGCCAGATCCTTCAGTAGTCTCGGATGCAGTTCATCAGGCCTTGAAGATCTGAACTCGTTCAAGGTATTCTTTGACTATTTGTTTATTTGTTTATGTATCTCCAGCTGCAATCCTGCCCCCCATGCACTTTCAATTTGTTTGGAAGTTCATAGTCTGCCTTATGGGAAAAGACTGAACTAAAATAGGAATTCAGCACCTCTGCCTTTTCTTTGTCCTCTGTTATCAGTCTATTCTTCTTTATAGGAAGAAGTAACTCAAGGGACAGTGAGAGTGGTAGATGGAGGCAGGTCAGCAAGAGGAAAAAATAATCAAGGGCAGTAAAGTCCAGAATGTTCCTTAGATGCGTCCAAAGCAGCAGCAAAAAAGGAACGGAAGGAGGACCCCTTAGAGGTGCGAAGAGGCAATGCTGGAGGGTGGGGCCTCTAATGATCTCCTTTTTTCAAGCTCTAGAATGTTCTGAGGATTCGCGCATGCGCGGAATGCTACCCATTAGTGTGCATTCGCAGAGACCACAAAGAACAACATCACACATACTGTAGCCACATTGCTTATTCTTCCAGCAAAGCCTTACCAGAGGTAGTCAGGGATTCTGGAGATATGTTCCTGGAATGCTGGAGATTTTTCTCCCTCCACAAACCAGCGCACAAGCATGTTAATAGTTTTAGATATCTGCATGAGCAAAGAAAGGCCAACCGTTACTTCTCTAGAGACAGCTAAAGCAACCAGCATTTCATATTTGAGATGTTGGCGCCTACATGAAGTTCTCATGAAAAGGACTCAGGGGCTCAGATCCTAGCAATAATTATAATTAGATTATCAGTGCTTAGATCAAATTAAGTATTACGGTAATTCCCTATGTGTTTGGCTTTGTCAACTAGCAAATTAGCAGTCCCATGCTTTCCCCTCAAAAAACATATCAGGCATTCTTCTTTCAGTTCAATCAAGCTGCCTACACAATTTGGTATTGTTGCCTTTCACTAGCAGCAGCTCTTTAGAATTGTGGATAGAGGAGATCCCTTTTAACTGGGAAGACACAAGGTGTTGGAACTAGGATCTTCTTTATATAAATCACTTGTTCTGTCATCATGTCCCCTCTCTTTTAACTACAAAGGTCATACTTCAAGATAAGCATGGATAGGACTGCACTCAAAGGCTTATAAGGGTCTGGAATTGTTGTGTGTATTCCAGCAATATTCGTCGTCTTTTTGTCGTGTCCGACTCTTCGTGACCCCATGGACCAGAGCACGCCAGGCCCTCCTGTCTTCCACTGCCTCCCGGAGTTGGGTCAAGTTCATGCTGGTAGCTTTGATGACACTGCCCAACCATCTCATCCTCTGTCATTCCCTTCTCCTCCTGCCTTCACACTTTCCCAACACCAGGGTCTTTTCCAAGCAATATTACATGGAGATTAAGACAAAGACCATGAGCACATATTATGCTAAACAAGGATTTATTTAGCTGAACTCTGGTGCCTTTGAATGTCCACACCTGGTCCTTGCTGTACACAATGGTTTAATCTGCTGCAACAAATCTCAGTCTGTAACCATGGTTTCCTATGCATCCTTTCTTGTTTTAACTATGGTTTGTTGCATATCCAAACCTGGACTTCTATTCAACCAGGCAACAGAGTCACAAGTGGCAAGAAACCAAAATCACTCCACAGATTAACATCTTCCCTGATTGGGCTGCCGTCTCCTGGCCACAAACAATCCGCCTGGCAGTCTATTCAAATCAATCCTTCCTCTCAAAGGCTTTGTTCTCTGGTTTGTAAAGCAGAAGAAGTGTTAAAAACATTCCCACTCTTATGGTAAAAGCAGGTATGCACAATAAAAGCAGCCCTTTACTCTCTGCGGGATAATTTGACATTCACATCCTCAGAACTACAGATCAAAGTTATGCAAAATGATTGAGTATTTCCAGCTTGGGACTGCAAGCTACTGGATCACTTCACTGATCAGACAATTACTCTGGGGAAATCTCTTCCTGTAGTTATATCCTCCCTGCATCTTCCCATCTCCATCCCAACTCCAGCACCAAGAGGCCAGGTATAATAGTGTAATACTGTCCTCAGGAGGCCAAGCCTGTTTACACAAAATAAACCAAGGTGGAGGCTTTTGATTTCAATCCAATGTTGTTTATCTCAGACCATTGTCCATGAATTCAAAGCCTATTTTAGGATGCATCTGTCTGAAACAGCCCTAGAACAGTCCTCTCACAGGCACTGCTTTCCCATACCCTTTTGGCAGCCTTCCCAGCTAGTGTTACTCTTTTCATATGCTCAATTGCAGAGCTACCGTGTTTCCGCAAAAATAAGACAGGGTCTTATATTAATTTTTGCTCCAAAAACACAGGCTTATTTTCAGGGGATTTTTGTTTTACAGTCATGTCATCTTCTGATTGCTGCACAATGGTGGAGGGCGGGGTTTCACTTAACTGGGGCTTATTTTGGGGGG